TGGCATTGTGGAGGTGCAGGCAGGGCTGAAGGCTAGGCAGAAACCAGGATGGAAAATGGAAACAGGCTGAGAGACTGGGCTGGTTCAGCCTGGAGAAGTCTTTGGGGAGATGTTAGAGCAGCAACCACTGCCTGAAGGGGGAAAGTCTGAAGAGTGTCTTGGGAGAAGGGATATAGGGACAGGCCAAGGGGAATGGCTTTAACCTGCCAGAGGGGAGGTTGAGATGAGCTCTTAGGCAGAAGCTCTTCCCTGTGAGGGTGCTGAGGTGCTGGCACAGGGTGCCCAGAGAAGCTGTGGCTGCCCCATCCCTTGCAGTGTTCAAGGCCAGGTTGGACACAGGGGCTTGGAGCAAGCTGCTCCAGTGGAAGGTGTCCCTGCCTGTGGCCCAAGTGGTTTGTCATGATTTAAGCCCAGCTGGTAACTCACAGCCGTGCAGCTGCTTGCTCCCCTGCTTCTTCCTCCCCTCACTCCCGGAGGGATAGGGAGGAGGATTGAAAGGGTGTAACTCGCACAGGTTGAGATAAGAACAGTCCAGTAAGTAAGGTATAACACAAACCACTACTGCTACCACCAATAATGATAGATAAAGGTAATAACAAGGGCAGAGAATATAAAACTGAAAGAGGAAAAGAAAACAAACACAAGTGATGCACAGCACAATTGCTCACTACCTGATGGTCGATACCCAGCCTGACCCAAGCAGTGATCTGGGCCTCCTGGGTAACTCCCTTCAGTTTCCATACTGGGCATGATGTGCTGTGGCATGGAATACCCATTTGCTTATTTTGGGTCGGGTGTCCTGGCTCTGCTTCCTCCCAGCTTCTTGTGCCCCTCCTCAGTGGCAGAGCATGAGACTGAAAAGTCCTTGATCTGGGTAAGCATTACGTAGCAACAACTAAAAACACCGGTGTTACCAGTGTTGTTCTCGGGCTAAAGCCAAAACACAGCACTGCACCAGCTACTAAGAAGGAGAAAAATGACTTCTGTTGCTGAACCCAGGACAGAGTTGGAACTGGATGAGCTTTAATGTCCCTTACAACTCGAATAAGTCTGTGATTCTATGATTAATAAAGTGATTTAGGGTATTACCTTTTATATATATCCCCCTTCTACTTTATTCTTTCACTCTTAAAATAGCACCCATTTTAAATGCTTCACCTGGAAGTCTTCTCTTTCCTGGATTCTTTAACTGACATCACTTTTTTGACTGAGCTGTTGGGGTTTTTTTTGGTATTGTAACCAGTAAGAGATGCTTGTGCAGGAGTCAGAAACTGTGTCTCTTCTGTTCCCCTGTGCAGCTGGTGTTGTCAAAGCGGATGATTTCAGCCTCCCAGCCTATGTTGACCGCCGTGATGTTCCCCTGCCTGAAGTGGCCTTTGTGAGGGATCTGTCTGCTCAGCAGCAGGCTCTGAAAGAGAAGGAGAAGGCATCTTGGACTGCTCTGTCTGCTGATGAGAAAGTTGAACGTGAGTAGTTGGGGCTTTAAGCCAGCTTACCTCTACCAACAGAGTGATCTAACCTGTTGTGTGTTAATTATTGACACCTGGTAGTGCAGCCACTAACCGCTGTGCCTCCTAATGAGGAGCTTTGTTAATTCCAATGGAGCTGCTTGTGCTTACACATGCAGAGGTCAGTGCTTGGTGTTCCTGGGATCCTTGGTGCTTTCAAAATCAGATATTCCTGCTGTTGTCTCTTATGTACCTCAGGTCAAGTCAAGCAATTTCTTCTTTTCCTAGAAAATAATATTTATTGATTCCTGTTTACTTTTAATAAGCCAGAACTCCTCATTACAACAATATGCAGTGGTTAGTCCAGCTGAGTGAAAATGAACCCTGGGGATTGGGATGTTAATGACCACTGACCTCAGCATTGCCAGATTTTGGCTGATTAAAAGTGCCAGGCAGGTGTTTTGACTTGCAAATAAAACTGAATTGTCTTTTCAAACTAACATCATGGTATGCCAGTGAGAACCCGCTCTGAGAGCATGCTGTGTCTTCCCCTGTCAAAGGTGGAAGGCTTAAAACTCCTTTGAGAATGGCTCTAATATGCATAAGCACGCTCCAAGTGTGATGTTCTGAATGTCAAATTCATTTGGACATTGCTGACAAAGGTGAGAGAAACCTTCTGAGATACAAGTGTTCAGAAGGTTTGGTTGCAATAACTGCTGGGAATTGGAGGGAAGAAGAGCTCTGCTTCTCCTCCTTTTTTTGTACTGATAATGCAGCTTTACAGTAATCTCTAAAATAGAGGTAAACATCACCTGCTGGGGGCGAGTCACATGGTGATGGTGAAACAAGTCATTTGCCATGGTATGAGGGCCTTGGTCTTGGTGCAGGAGACTCCAGCTAATTCAGAAGCTCTTTAACATCACTTTTGGTTGGCTTTAAGCTTTGGTAACCTCTTTCTGGAGCATGGCATGTGGCCTGCAAGTCACAGCAAAAGGAAAAGGAATAGTTTGATGCTTTTAACTTGTACTTTTTTGCAGTGTATCGTATCAAATTTAATGAGACCTATGCAGAAATGAAGAAAGGAACAAACGAATGGAAGACTGTTGTCGGTGGAGTGCTGTTCTTTCTTGGTTTAACTGGTTTGATCCTCATTTGGCAGAAACACTTCAGTAAGTAAACACTCTACGGTGTTAACTGTTAAATGAAGAGCAACATCAGTTGATATTTGATGGGGGGAACAGTGATGGGAAATGAGAGATTTGCTGTGAGCCACTCCAGGGAGTCTGTGGTGTATCCATCAGCGTGCTGGTGCCCTCTTGGCACTTGCTGTTTGTTAGTCTCTGAAAACCCCATTCTGGAGCTTCTTCATGGAGATCAGCAGGGGTGTAGTGTGAGTATTCAGGAAGCTCACCCACTGAGAGGTGAAGGTGGTGGAGAGAGCTTTGGTGGGAGGAAAAGATAGGGAAGGGAAAGAGCAGTGATGCCACTGATCCCAGAGCTTCCCCTCTCTGAAACCTGCTGTTGCAAAAGCTTCTTGCTGCTTTGGTAGTAAACATTTGGGTTTCTGCCACATTTGGCTTCGTTCCCAGCCAATGTTGCTCCCCCAGGGGAGGCTTCCAGCTGCCGCAAGGCAGAGCATGCAGTTAAATGAGCTGTTCTGTGTCCTGAGGCTTCATCTACTTGTAGTGAAAGTAGAGGGTTGTTGTCTTGGTACAAGCCTTTAGAGATGAGTAGAAACGGCTAGGGAATCGATGTGGGAATCCAGCCCGAGCTGAGTGCTTCAGGGCTCGAATGTAAGGAATGCAGTTTGAAGAGATGATGGTGCGTGGGTGATTGGCACCTGTGGCTTTGGGGGGAAAAGTTTTTCATTAGTGAAACTTCAGTTCCTAGCTTTATATTGTGATGTGATTCCACCTGCCTTTGAATTGCAGTGTACGGCCCTATTCCGCACACCTTCTCCGATGAGTGGGTGTCGGCGCAGACGAAGAGGATGTTGGACATGCGGGTTAACCCCGTGGAAGGCATCTCTTCCCAGTGGGATTATGAGAAGAACGAATGGAAGAAATAAAGCAACTCAGTGCAGCCTGTTCTGCTTGAATATGAAATGATTCCATCACCTGTGTGTGACCTTGTTGTTGTGTACTGGAGCAACCTCTCCACTTACATAGAGGCTAATAAATGTCTGGTTAACTCGAAGGTGTCCTTTTATTGGTGTATGGATGTGTGTGGTGTGATGGGAACCTTAGGGGCAGAGCTTTCCTGGGTAATCTCGTCATAGATGGTGTGTGTTCAAGGGAATGTCTTTGGGGCACAGCCAGCTGTCCTGCTGTGCAGAGGTCAGAGCTACATGTAAGGTAAGCAGATCCCAGCCCTGGCAGAGCCTCTGCATCCCGTAACCACTCCAAAAATAGCATGTCAGTGCTCCAAAAGGCCAAGTCGAAGGGAGCAGAGTGTGTGATGGAGGGCAGCTCTGCTCTGTCTGTCTGTCCTTGTGAAGGGAATGTGAGGAAGAGACGAATTACTACATGTTGTTAAGAATAGGTTTAGACCCCACACCTTGCCTTATGTGTGAGGTGATGGTGCTTGGAGGGGATCACTGCAGAGTGGGGAGGGAAAAAGTCTCTGTGTTTAGTGGGAGCATATGGACTTTAATAAAACACACTGGGGACACGTTCTGGTTCATGGCTTAGTGGTTCCAGGGCCCGAGCTAAGAAAGGTGGTGCTTCTGCTTTGCTCTGTAGCTGTGGCTTTCTCCCTTTGGCTAGTCTTTCTGCAGGCAAACCTGCCTTCACCTTAAAAACACCCTTCTGAAGACTAAAACAAGCTTCAGCTGCAGCTTGCTGTCTTCCTGCATTGGGTTTAGCAGCTGAGGTGGAAACCCTGGGGTGGCCTCAGCCGCATGTGGTGACCCGCTGTGCTGGGGCTGGCCAGCCTTTCCCTTCCAGAGAGATGGAGGTTTTTAAGATGAGATGATTTGATGGGAATTAAGCCATGAGCTCCCTTTCCTACATCTGAAACATCCCTTAGGTGAAGTGCTTATCTCTGGGGCGCTGAGGAGGATGTAACAAGGATGACACAATCACAGCCTGGTGATGGCTCCGGGGCTTTTGCTACACTTGTGGTTTGCTTTCCTCTGCTCTTCATATAGCTGGTGCCTCTGGCAGGCTGCTGGCGCTGAGCTGGGAAGGGGCCAGCAAGCTGCTATAGGCAGATCTGCTTTGGAAATGGATGTTCTGAAGCATGTGCTGGGATAGCAGCGCTGCTTTACAGCTCCTCTTAGGAGCTCCCCTGCAGGGAGGGGGAGATGGATTTATCCCCAGTGCTCCATTAGCTGCCGGTTATTTGTGCCATGCTCTGGTTTTTGAGGTAAGTTCCCTATTCTGCATTCTGCTCTCATTCCTGTGGTTGGGATGAATTAGCATGAATGGGAGATACCCCATGGAGCGCAGGTCTTGTACCAGCCTGTAGCATGCCAGACTGACGCCCAGAAGCATCCCTGTGACAAGGGAGTTATTCCTGCTGGGAACAACCTCCCCTTCACTCTCCCTAAAGGGCTGTGAAAGCCTCATCGAGCCCAGGATAGAAACCTGAGCCTCACCATGGCCCTGGATCCTTATTTCCTCCTCCCCTGCCTGGCACCAGCCACTCTTCTCCAACCCTTTCACCCTAGAGCACGGCGCAGGGACCTGCCGGAGCAGCCTATGGCCTGTGAGTGAGCTGAGTTTGCCAGGGCTCTGCACGCTCATCTCCTGGCATGTGTTCCCCTTCCTCCTGCTCTTGGCAGAGGGATGTGCTGTTGGGAGGTGATGGAGCTCACTGTCCTGACTGTGATTTTTGGGTGTTTGTTTGCAGATAGCCTTGGATACTGAGGAGCCACCTGAATCCTGATCCTGGGGACAGGAAAACCATGGGCAGTGGAATGACCAAGGTACTGAGGGCCAGCGGGATGGTGGCCAGCTTGTCCTTAGGCAGGACCTTCTGCAGCACAGGGGGATGCTTGTTCAGAGCCACCATGATCATAGAATGGTTTGGGTTGGAAAAAACCTTAAAGCTCATTCAGTTCCAGTCCCCTGCTCAGTTTTCACTTAGACCATGTCATCTATGGTGCTCTAAATAAAACCCTTTGGATATTCCCTTTCTCAATCCCATTTGAAGTTCCAAGCATTTAAGAAAGGGAATTAAGAAAGCAAAGGGTGCTTGCTGGGTTTATATCCGAGGTGATGAGCTAAGTGCCTGGGGGTGCTGGAGGTGCAAAGGATGCTGCAGAGGATGAAGGGGGCTGTTGGGATCCATCATCCTGGGATACTGCAGAGGGTGAAGGGGACTGGTACAGCTTTATATGCTTGTCCCTTGGGTGGTAAGGCAGTGGCATTAGCATCCCCAGGGCTGATGGGGGTCCCTGCAGGGGAATTTCCTCCCCCTGCCAGCCCTGGGACACGTTTGTGCCCAGCAGCTACACACAGCAAAGGGGAATGTGGTGTTTTGCTGCAGCTTGTTGCCCATCTGAGCTCCAGGGCTGACAGAGGGGATAGATTTCTGCTTCTGTCCTTAAATAACCATTCGGTACGTGCGTTATTCAGTTTAAAATTAGACCCTGAGACAACAACAGCGAGACCAGATCAGGGCAAACTCTGTCTGCATGGCTCTGGTGTGGTTTAACACCAGTGTTTCATGCCCTGTGCATGCAGCCTCACCTACAGAGTGGATTTACAGCCCCCCCAGTGCCACCAACCCTGCTTGGGAAGCCCAGGGGCTGGGCTGGTGCAGACATGTTTGTGCTGCTTTGATTTGATGAGCTGAAGGGTTCAATGTCCCCCTTCTATTGGCAACAGCTTGTGCCATGCTGGGGCACAGTCATTTGCTGTTTGCACCCCATGGATGGGCTGGGGTTCAGCTGAATTAGAGAGGGGCTGGATGTGGCCCAGTGCCAAGGGTCTTTTGCCAGGTGGGTGCAAACAGGTCAGCTCTTCCTTTCTATGCCTTGGTAAATGGCTCTGGTGGGCTCTTACAGCCCAAAAATACCCTGAGCTCCCCCTTTTTCTCCTCCATAACGCTGCAGCAGTGAGTCATTGCCCAGCTCCACATACTTGATGGCACTTACTGCAGCATCCTGCCCAGAGAGGTGTTATAAATAGCCTGTGCCTTTGCCTATTTATCCCTCGCTGACAGAGGCAACCTTTGAAACTGTTTGCAAGAGGTGGTTGCTATAGAATAGATAAATAAATCCCAGCTGCAGCGGGGCTGGTTTGCCTGCAGGAGATGGGGAGGGGGGTCTGTGCTGGACCCCCACCCTGAAGGAGGAGCTGGGGTGGGCTGATTCAGGCCGTTTCTGATGGGAAAACGCAAGCCCCTTCCATTGATGTGCTGAGTTTTCCTGAGCTCTGTGACCTTAAAGGAGTTTGGGATGGTGGTTTCGGTGGGCTCAGCTTTGGTGTTCATTAATGAAGGTGGTTCACTAATTAGCTGCTTGGTTTATCATTGCCTGGGGGGGTTTGGTACCAGATGCTCTGGTCCTGCTGGTACCACACATGCAGCTCGATGCTCCCACCACGTCTGATGCATGCTGTGCCCGACACTGCCTTAAATCTCTCTCCTTTCTGTCACCTCCCAGGTTGTCAAAGGCCTTTATCTTGGGAACATCCGTGGTGAGTGCTTTTCCCTGTGTTTCCCTGTATTCCCACCTCTGTGTTGCTATGAGATCCATGGGGCTGCAGGAATCCCTCTGTGCTCCCTGTGCCTGCTCCCTGTTGAGGACCTCAGCATTATCCAGAGATCCTAATCCCCCAGATAGCCCCATCCCAATCACAACTGGCCCTGTGCCGCTCTAGCTCAGGAACTGGATATCCATAGGGAGTGCCGGAGCACTGGGAAACCCCGGCATGGCTGGAAACCTCCCCTGTGTTTGCTGAGACAATATTTACAGTGGGACAATGCCTGGCTTTCTTGCTGGGAATTCTGGGCCCTGCAGGGAGCAGGAAGCTTGTGTTTCCTCCAACAGTGAGGGCACAACAGCCTTTTCCAAGAGCATAATATCTGATTTTGGGGGGAGTCTGATGAATATCCATTTCATCCAAGGGGAATTTTGCTTTGAAGGAGGTGCATTCTTCCCATGCAGAGTGAAAAGCAGTGGGAATGAGGGACAAAGGGGCTTGGGATGATGGATGTGGGGTGCTGGTGGGTGCTTGGTCCATCAGATCTCCCAGGTAACTCATGTGCTTCTCCCAATTCCAGACTCTGAGGACTATGAGAGCCTGCGGAGGAACGGGGTGACACACATCCTCTCCATCCACAACAGGGCCAAGCCAGTGCTGGAGGTCAGTGCTTGGGTTGGGGGCTCTGTGGGGCCACTCCAGAGGCATTGGGGACTGGGAGGGTGCAATTGGGATGCACACAGTGTTCTCCTGGCATGGGGCAGAGAAGCAGTGCTGGACTTGCACTGACTTTAGTGATTTGCACTGATCTGCACTGACTTTGGTGATTTGCACTGATTTGCACTGACTTGCAGTGATTTGCACTGATTCGCACCATGCGATGCTGAATTGCACCCGAAGGGGCTCAGCCTTCTCTTTAAGAGGGGCCACCGCGGTGTTTCGGGGGTCACTGCCCCTCTCTCGTTGGGCTTTAGGGGCCGCAGCGCTGGAGGGGACTGAGCCGGGAGCCCGGAGCACCGCGAGAGGGCGGCGGCGCCCCACGGATGGCGGCACCGGGACCGCCAATGGCCCCGACGGGGAGGAGCAGGGAGGGGGCACAGCGGGACCGGAGCAGCCCAGCCCCAACCCCGGACAGGGGTCCCGGGCCTTGTGTCCCCACTAAAACCGCGCTGATCCCGGAGCTCTGCGGAGCCCTCGGGATACGGGTGGGGAAACTGAGGCAGGAGGGTTGGGGCGGACGGTACAAAGGATGCTGCAGAGGATGAAGGGGGCTGTTGGGATCCATCATCCTGGGATGCTGCAGAGGATGAAGGGGGCTGTTGGGATCCATCATCCTGGGATGCTGCAGAGGATGAAGGGGGCTGTTGGGATCCATCATCCTGGGATGCTGCAGAGGATGAAGGGGGCTGTTGGGATCCATCATCCTGGGATACTGCAGAGGATGAAGGGGGCTGTTGGGATCCATCATCCTGGGGTGCTGCAGAGGATGAAGGAGGCTGTTGGGATCCATCATCCTGAGATGCTGCAGAGGATGAAGGGGGCTGTTGGGATCCGTCATCCTGGGATGCTGCAGAGGGTGAAGGGGACTGTTGGGATCCATCATCCTGGGATGCTGCAGAGGGTGAAGGGGGCTGTTGGGATCCATCATCCTGGGATGCTGCAGAGGATGAAGGGGACTGTTGGGATCCATCATCCTGGGATGCTGCAGAGGATGAAGGGGGCTGTTGGGATCCATCATCCTGGGATGCTGCAGAGGGTGAAGGGGGCTGTTGGGATCCATCATCCTGGGATGCTGCAGAGGGTGAAGGGGGCTGTTGGGATTCATCATCCTGGGATGCTGCAGAGGATGAAGGGGACTGGCACAGTTACAGGTTGGGCAGAGAAGTGATTCAGAGCAGCAGAAGGACTTGGAGGTGTTGGCTGATGAGAAACTGAACATAAGCCAGCTTCAGTGTGCGCTTGCAGCCCAGAAAGCCAACCATATCCTGGGCTGCATCAAAAGGAGCGTGACCAGCAGGTTGAAGGAGGTGATCCTGCCCCTCTATCCTGCTCTTGTGAGACCTCACTTGGAGTATTGTGTGCAGTTCTGGTGTCCTCAACATAAAAAGGACATGGATCTGTTGGAACAAGTCCAGAGGAGGCCACGAGGATGATCAGGGGACTGGAGCACCTCTCATATGAAGATAGGCTGAGAAAGTTGGGGCTGTTCAGCCTGGAGAAGAGAAGCTGCGTGGAGACCTCATAGCAGCCTTCCAGTATCTGAAGGGGGCCTATAGGGATGCTGGGGAGGGACTCTTCATTAGGGACTGTAGTGATAGGACAGAGGTAATGGGTTAAAACTGAAATAGGGGGAGTTTAGGTTAGATATAAGGAAGAAGTGATTTACTGTTAGGGTGGTGAGGCACTGGGACAGGGTGCCCAGAGAAGTGTTGAATACTCCATCCCTGGCAGTGTTCAAGGCCAGGCTGGACAGAGCCTTAGGTGCCATGGTTTAGTGTGAGGTGTCCCTGCCCATGGCAGGGGGGTTGGAACTGGATGATCTTAAAGGTCCTTTCCAGTTCAACCCGTTCTATGGTTTTATGATCCTGGGATGCTGCAGAGGGTGAAGGTGATTGCAGGCACCCCTCATCCTTTGGGACCTCAGTAAGTAGGTAACTCCATCAAAACATCAGGTTGAGCCCTAAGGCATCGGGTAAGGTGCAGTGGGGCAGAGAGAGGAGGAAGGAGGCTGCATGAAATGGGTGTAGAGAAACGGCTGGAGGCTGGGGAAGGAGCAGCAGCTGGTGCTGGCGGTGCTCAGGGCACGGCCAGATGGGGTAGCAAACCACACGGTGACTTACAACACGGAGTGAGGCGGGAGGAAAGGGGAACCGGAAAGGCATGGTGGGTTGAGCAATGTGTCAATCACAGCCCCGGCTCCGCAACCGCAAACCCCAGCACTGTTCCCACGAGTGGCCCCGCTCCCCGAGGCGGGATGGGGGCACCATGGGGAAGGGGAAGCCACTGGGAGCCCGGCAGTTGTTATGGGGTCGGGGAACAGGGAAGAGTGGGATCGGTTTGGCTGCGGTACCGGTTGGTGCGGTTGCTTGGACGATGTGGTGGCTCTTCTTGCTATGGGGAGGCTTGGTTAGTACTGGCATGGTTTTGGGGATCCATGGCCAGGATTGGTGGATTTCCAGGTTTTGGGAATCCATGGCCAGGATTGATGGATTTCCAGGTAGATCCCCAGGCAGAACTGATGGATTCCCAGGTTTTGGGAATCGACAGCCAGGATTGATGTATCGCCAGGTTTTGGGGATCCATGGCCAGAATTGGTAGATTTCCAGGTTTTGAGGATCCACAGTCAGGATTGATGGATTTCCAGGTTTTGGGAATCTACAGAGAGGATTGGTGGATTCCTAGGTTTTGGGGATCCGTGGCCAGAATTGATGGATTTCCAGGTTTTGGGGATCCATGGCCAGGATTGATGGATTTCCAGGTTTTGGGAACCTACAGCCAGGATTGATGGATTCCTAGGTTTTGGGGATCCATAGCCAGAATTAATGGATTTCCAGGTTTTGGGGATCCATGGCCAGGATTGATGGATTCCTAGGTTTTGGGGATCCATAGCCAGAATTAATGGATTTCCAGGTTTTGGGGATCCACGGCCAGGATTGATCAATTTCCAGGTCTTGGGGATCCATGGCCAGAATTAATGGATTTCCAGGTTTTGGGAATCCACAGCCAGGATTGGTGCATTTCCACATTTTGGGCATCCATCATCCCACAAAACCTGCTGCTGTTTGCTTGTTGGTCCTCATGCCCTTGTCTGACACGTGGTCCCCTTCTACCTGCCAAGCTCCTGCCTGCATCCACCATCCCCTGTGTGCTGAGGAGCTGCAGTTTGGCTGGGGCATAGATGAGGAGCCCACCTATTATCCTCTATTTCTCCCCTTATCCTGGCCTTCCCAACTGTTTTTCCAGGCAGGGAGCATCCTGCTGGCATCCCATGAGGACCTGGCAAGTGCCACCTTGTCTCCATCCAATGAGAGGCTGCAGGGTGGCAGGGATGAGCATGGGACTGGGCTAGGGAGGGTGGATAGGATGGACAAGTGATGCATGGGAATGCCTGCCCATGCTTGTGCTTCTAGCATGGGTCTTTCCAACACGGACATATCCCCTTGCCCATCCCGTGCTACCCCTTCCCTCCTTAAATAATCCTGGTTTTACAGCCTCCCAGTTTACCCTGGGCTTGAGGGTATCCCATGGGGTTGGTCAGCCTAAGGGGGACCTCTCCATAGTGATGCCCATGGCAGGGAGTTGGAAGTGGATGATCTTAAGCTCCTTTCCAACCCAAACCTGTTTATGATGCCACTGGAGATGGGGTAATCCCTGTGCTCGGCTGTTTCGGCTCTGTCAGGATTTCCATCTATTTTGCTAAGAAAAGGGAATAAAAAAAAACACAAAAAGGGGGAAAAAAAAAAAGAAAGAACCTCGTATGAAAAGGATCTAATTTTAGCTCGGAACAGGGAGGCTCGAGGAAGCGATGTTTTAAAGAAAGGAAAGTGATCTGACCCACGCCGACATGCGGCAGGATGATTTATTGTGTATTAGAAAGGGCTGGGAGGAAATAACTCATTGATGAGAGCGGCTTCATCAGTGCGTGTTCATGCATGTCTTCCTCATGGGGCTCGCTGGTTGGGGCCCCAGGAGAGGGGTGGCTCTGATTTGAGGGGCTCCTGTCACAGTTTCCCATGGCCTGGATTCTCCTATGGGATTAAATGGATGGGGGCAAGACCCTGGGGTGGGTTGGATGTGACCCTGTCATGGTTCTGCCTGTCCATAGGGAGCAGGGTGGTGGTATCCAACAGCTCATTGTGGCTTCCTCTTCACCTAAGGTTCATATGAGGAGAGGAAAAAGAGAGAAATTAAGGCTTTTTTTTGTGTTTCTTGCAAGTATTTTATCACTTATCCTATTACTTCAACCGTCTTTGTATTGCAGGACATGACCTATCTCTGTATCTCAGCCTCTGATTCTTCCAGTCAAAACCTGTAAGTCATTCGCCATCCTTTTTCCTCAATATTGACCTTTTTGATCAATAAAACCTCAGATTCTGCAGGATGAAGGTTCAGTTTGTGCTGTAAAAGCTTTGCATTGTTGCAGAGCTTGACAGAAGCAGTGGTTCATTCGCAGGTTCAATAACATTTGTAGGGCTTAAAATGTGTTTCTGTGTGTGTTTGCATTCAATTTTCCATGAAAACTGGGCAGGTTAAGGATTGGAGCATTAGAAAGATGATTTGTGTCATTCTTCCATACATTTTCCTTGGAAAGAGAAGTAAAATATTTGTTTAAACCATCATTTTCACCCATGCTACAAAGCACAGATACTCCTAATGTTCTCAGAATGAAGCTGGTGGGAAGTGCTGCAAGGAAGCCCCAGGCTTTCATGGGATATGGTGCTGGGGTGTGATGGCACCTGGGGTTGCAGCACTGTGATGCTGCTTTAGCATCCATAAACCACACACTTTAAGCAGAAAATGGGCATTTTTTTTTATTCTTCAAAAGCTAAAAAGCATCAAAACTTAATGCAAAGTGCCCGGACAGAGCCCCATTGTGGAGATACTGGTTTTCCAGCATCCTTGTGAGCAGCCTTGTTCCGGGATGGGATTCTGCTTGCTCATGCTCCCGCTGAGCGGAAAGAGGAGCTTTACAAGAAAACCCTGCCTCAGCAAGAAATGGGGTTTTTTAGGTGTTATTTTTTTCTCCCATTTCATTGCGTTTGAGGCACATCTACCAAAAGGGAAAGAGAAAAAAAGGGAGAAGGAAAAAAAAAGATAAGAGTGGCTGCCGGAAGGAAGACTTATTCAAGGAACTATTTTCTGCTTGTCAGTTTATGCTTTGGATTTCACAATCCTGGTGAACTTTGTGTCCTGCAGAGGAGATGCTTGTGACTCAGGATCTCTGCGGCTCTCAGCATTGCTGGCTTCACGCCCCAATTCCATGCTTTGAGGCTGGAAAAGCATGGAGAGAGCTTTTCTATGCCTGGAGGGGGAAAAGCCCCTGTGGGGTGTGTGAGGATGGATGGGGTGGATGAAGTACTCACCTCCCTCCAGGATGGGGTGGGAGAGTGATGCTGCTTGCATGGAGTGGGCTGGAGGGTGGCAGAGGGAGCTGGAGGTGAGAGCATCACATCCGTGCAAGCACTGTGCATCCCTGCTGGTCCAAGCCAAGGATGCACATGGGATCCGGAGAGCTTGGATCTGTGTAGGCACCACATGCAGCAAGCCCTGGGGGATGTTCTGCAGGGCAGGATGAGCTGAAATGCTCTGGGACAAGCTCTAGGCAGGGAAAGGCACCCAGATGGTGATGCTGCATTTGCTGTAGTGGTTGAAGAGGCCATGATTAGCAATAGACTGACATCATCCAGGGCTGAAAAGGTCCATATTTGTGAGTATGATCACAGCTTTGGAGACTTCCATCCCAGCAGAGCCCCTTCCTGTTACTGAATGCATCCTTGGCTGGTTTCTTAAGGTGTAGAACAGGGTGAAGAGCTTACTTACCCTTTGATGGGCTAGCAGGGATGGAGGAGGTTTAGGAGGGCTCTGCCTTGTCTCTGAGCCCCATTGGGAGCGAGCCCTGGGCTCCCTGCTAGCTCATGATTTGGCTTCTGAGAAATCAGGAAGGCTGTGCAGGAGGACACCCACCCCATCACGCGGAGCCAGAGGAAGTCCAGCACTGGGGCAGAGCACTGCTTGCTCCTCCACTCCCTGCTAGGCATCAAAGGGGACCCTCTTCTCCTCCCCATAAAGCTGGGGCTATGGGGCCAGGCAGTCACCACTGCCCGAGTTACTCAGAATCAGGTTTTCTGCCTCAAAACTGGCCCAGGACTCAGTGGGGCTGTGAGGATGAGCAGGTTATGGCAAACGCATACTGAGGAGATGAGTACCTGACTCTGTGTGGGTTCTTGGAGATGCTCGCTGCCTTTGGGAAGGGCTGGCAGCAGTGTCCAGCATCCCATCCAGTGATGAGCAGGAGGGATGCGTTTCACCAGACCCTGCATAACCCTCCCACAAGCACCCATCTCTGTCTCATCAACACATGTGGAGTTGCTTATCCTGTTTTCTATGTCTCCATACCTTCAAAGAGATGGGGGCCGCCCATAAGGCCAAGCATCCACGTGGGAAGCAGAGAAGCACCATTGGGTGTTGCAGCAGAAAGCCCTGGCTCCCTGCCCTGTTTTGCTGTGAAACTCTCTGGTTTGGGTTAATGTGCTGCCTGTGCCTTGCTGCGGCGCTGGTTGTGCTTTCAGGGATGCAGGCAGCTATCTGTGACTGGCAACCCTACGTCCTACATCCCTGGAATGGGTGGGAAGGGGCTAGATATGCTCTTTGGGTGAGAAGGAAAAGCAAGTTGCACTATGCCAGGATTTGTGGGCAATGCAACTTGGGAGCCAACTTTTCCTGCCTTTTTCCCTACCAGCATCTTCCCCTTGGAGGGAACTGGGTGGTTTTGGCATCATTTGGGAATTGGGGGTGAGCCTATGGCTCCGGGCAGCCTCTGACATGGGGATGTGCATGTCCCTTGGGCATAAGGTAATGGCATTCCCTGGAGGCTGACTCCCTGCCCTGCCTTGGCTGACAGCATCCCGCTGTTCCTGAGCCCTCAGGAAGCAGGAAATCCCTCGGAAAGCCTCTCAGGTCACTTCCTTCCTTGCAGATGACCATTACCCTCTTTGCCTTCACTGGGCAGAGGGAGGATCCCTGCTCCCATCCCATGGCCCTGTGGCAGGGGACACGCGATGGCTATGGCTGGGGTGGTTTGGAGCTTCCCATCCTCACCTCCTGCCTCTCTCCTTGCAGGCTGCAGCATTTTAGGGAGTGCATCCGGTTCATCCATGAATGCCGGCTCGGCGGGGGAGCCTGCCTTGTTCATTGGTGAGAGCTACCAGAACCCCATCGCATTCCCTTGGTGTCGGTCCTCTGGGAGGTGGGAATGCGGTCCCAGAAAGTGTCCTCAGCGTCAAGTGTGGGAGTGTGATAGGGGAAGGTTTCTGCTGCTGGGATCCATGGGGATCACAGAATCATGGAATCAGCCGGGTTGGAAAAGACCTTTAAGGTCATCAAGTCCAGCTTTTACCGCAGCACTGCCAAGGCCCCTACTAACCCCTGGCGCTGAGGCCCTCATCTACATGGATGTGAACACTTCCAGTATGGTGACACCACCAGTGCCCTAGGAAGCCTGTTCCAGTGCCTGACCACCCTCTCTGTGAAGAGATTATTCCTGTGCCAGCTCCCTCTCACAGTTACAGCCTATATTTAACAAGGAGACAGCAAGCCATGCTTACTTTCACAGTGAAAATCCACTATGGTACTTGGATAGCAGCAACAAGATGAGTTGGTAGAAAAGTTTGGCTTAGATTCGACTCAGATTAGATTGGAGAGTTGTTAGATAAGAGAGTTAATATTCAGTCTAAACCTCCCTTGGCACAGCTTGAGCCTGTTTCCTCTTGTCCTATCACTCATCTGGGAGAAGAGACCAGCCCCACTTCCCTACATCCTCCTTTCAGGTATTTGTAGGGAGTGATGTATACTCCATGCACAGAAAACCAGAGCATCCAAAGAGGTGGGATGCAGGAATCCATCTACCCACAGCCACCAGCAGCACTCTATGTCCATGCAGCTCCTTACCCCCACCATAGCCCTGCTAGCATCCCACTGAGACCGACATCCATCGGGAGAAGCAACCCTATGTTGCATGCATCCCTATGCATCCCAAATGATGTGTGTTAATCATTATGATGGGAACGCCTCTCCCTGACGCTGCTCCCTCTCTCCATGCCAGCCTGGCCGGGGTATCCCGCAGCACCACTGTCCTGGTGGCTTATCTCATGACGGTGACCGAGCTGGGCTGGGAGCGCTGCCTAGCCGCTACCAGGGCTGTGAGGTCCTATGTGAGCCCCAACTTTGGCTTCCAGCAGCAGCTGCAGGAGTACGAGGTGACCTTGCTGCAGGAGGTACATCCCGCACCCGTGTCCCCTTACGCGTGTGTCTGCAATGTCCCCTTATACTCGTGTCTGCAAGGTTTGCAAGCAGGGATGGCTCTTTTGCATGCAGCTCTATGCAGGGACGGCTGTTTGACTGAGCTGGCCTTTGTGTGTGCTATTTATTACCTGGGGATTTTGGGGTTTTGCATGCAAAAACAACAACAAAAAAAAACCTTAAAAATAAGAGAGTGCCTTGATATTGTGTGAATGCACTTAGAAAAGCTCTTTAACCCCCAGTGCTTTTCTTGAGGTCTCAGGATGCAGCAGGAGGGATGGGTGAGCAGTATGTCCCCTGGGAACCATGGCAAGGGCATGGGTTGGTTCCCTCTAATGCAGCACAGTGAGAGATGGAAAAGGGGGAGAGGGACGGATGCTCTTGTGAATAGCTTTGGGATGTGCTTGGTGTGCTTGGCCTTCCCATACACCAAATCCACTGCTTTTAGAGGCAGACAAGTGACAAGTGTTGGTGGAGAAGTCATCTTTGCTCAACCAAATGATGAGGAGAGGCAGGGTTTAGGAGAGCAGGAGCCCTGGTTGGGTGCATCCCCATCCAGTGTGAGGGAGGGATGATGTAGCTGGGCTGAGCCTGATCCTGGCGGCTGGGGGTGACAGTGGCATGTTTAATCACAACAGTACTAATTGCAGGGCTCAGGGATGCACTGTTGACCCGGAAAGCCATTGAAAGCAAAGGGAAAGGCACTTAAAAGCAGAGCTCCCACAGTGGATCCTGCTCCTCCATCCACCCTCAGGCTCTGCAGAGGACCAGGGTCTAAAACTGCACATGATGGACTTCTGCAAGGACAGATTAACCTCATAGCTCACATCAACCCTAGACTTGATCCCATTACTGAAGTCAAAGCCCACCCCATCCACAGCAGCCATGAGCATCACACAGTGATGGTCCCTCTGGCCACTCTGAGTTGGTCAAGGGGGTTTCTGTCCCCTAGGCTATAAGCAGGGACAGCATGTGACATGGTCACAAATGTCACCCATTCCCTTGGCGCTGTCACGTGCGGCACACAGCCACCACCCGTTATTGCTGGCTTGCAAAAACACCCGTGGAGGAGGGCAGAGAATGGTCCAAGGGATTACAAAACACCCACAGCGCTGGAGATTCCCTATGGGGCTTCCCCCGTCCGGTCCCCAGCCCTTCCCACGCTATGGCTGTGTCCCAGCATAAGCTGCGGTGTGGGGTTTGCTGCCTCCTGCTCCCCAAAGGCCAGGCTGGGCTCAGCAGGCACCAGATCCCCCTCCCCTCCTTGTGTGCTGCTTTTTCATCTCCTCGAGGTTTTGCCCAGAGCTTTGCAAGCATTTCCTTGAGGACACCAAAGGCAGAGCCAGGGGTCGAGGCACTCAGATGAGGTTTAGGAAGAGCTGCCTTTTCCTTGGAACACCGTGAATTCCCTGTGGTCCCAACAGTGGGAGGGAAGCTGCGATGGCCCTGGAAGGGGGCTGCTGCTGGATGCTGGAGCAGGGAGTGCTGCTCATCCTCAGCTCCATTTGGAGAAGGGGAAGAGCAAGGATGGATGCTCCAACTGCTCCCAGCTCATCCCTGCATCCTCTCCCTTTGCAGGAGGAAGATCAGCCGAGGTGGATGCCGAGGGTCCCATGGGGTGGTGGATGCTGTAGGCATTCACTTGTATGGCCAGGAGCCCATAGGACCTGATGCCATATGTGTCCTGCCCCTTTCTTCATGCCAAGCAGCATTTGGCTTGCTTGTGTTGGCTGTGGAAGGTTGTACCTTGTTCCTGTGGCTTTGAGGTTGTTTTTTGTGTGTAGGTAGGATGCAAGAGCAAGGGTATCGTGACCAGAGCTTCGGATCTTGATGAGGGTAGAGAAAAGTCTGGATTTCCCCATTTAGCCAGGCATTAATTTGGAAACACAGTGCATGGAAGCAGTCATGGATAAGGGCTGGGCAGGCTGCTCAGAAGGAAAAGCCTTATTTCTTCTTGGTTTAAACCCATGAGGAATAGGTTGATCCTCATGGGAGCCTGCTCCACAGGGCTCTGGACAAGCATCCCTCAGTGCCTCAGCTTCCTTGATGTGGAGCAGGGACCTCAGATGGGACCCCGGCAAGTAGAAATGGGGAAGATGCTCTCTGGGACTGGCCGGAAAGTGTGCATGGAGCATGCAGCTGTGGTTTCAAGCTGGCAAATGATGCTTATCGGGATGGATAAAGAAGGAAGGAAGAGACCAAGAGCAGCAGCACCATGATGGGTAAGGTTAGAAAAGGAAGTAAGTGGGCACAGAGAAGACAGCATGAATGTGAGAGAGGGCGAAGATGCCATTTGGGTGATGGGCCTCTTCCCTGTGGTGGTGGCACACCATGGCCAGGCTGCCTTCCCACCCTGGTGCTGTCCCACATGGGATGGATGCTCCTGGCTCCAGAGAGAAGAGGAGGGCAGCAGGAAAGTGGTCAGAACTGGAGGAAATGGGCTGTAAGCAGTTCTTGCTCTCCCTTTAAAGTGAAAAGCCCGTCAGCAGCAGCAGGGTGTTTTCCACATCCTCCTAATGGATCCTTCCCTCCTTTTGCTGGATGGTGGGAGCCAGCTCCCATCAGACGCATGATGTGTGCTTAGTCCTGGTGGGTTCTGAGCTTTGGTGGCCAGGCTGGTCTCCCCATGGATCTTCATCCCTCTGGATGATTTGCACAGGAGGAATGTTTCAAATCCTGTCCCAAATCCTTTGGGACTCACTTCCCAAAGAAATCAGGTCTGGCTCTCGGGGTCCACCCCAAACAAGGAGTCTGTCTGCTTGCTGGAGGCAAGTGTGCAGTAACCGTGGTGAATCCCAGTATCCAAGGGAGTGGATTTAGGAAATCCCGACATTCCTGGTGGAAATCCCCTCTGTCTGAGCTGACTTCCCCTGGCTGCAGGAGGTGCAAATGCCACCAGGGTCAGTCTCAGCTCATGGTCCCTGTGCCTGCACCAGTGCTGGCAGGATGGGGCTGAACCATTCTGTTCCATTCTCCTGCATCCCACACCTTTGCCATGAGCTCCATGGCTCCTGGCCATGGGGTGCTGCCATGGCACCCCAGGAAGCTGGAACCACTGCAGGGACTTCTCACCCTGGGGGTGCTGAGGCTCAGGGGGCTGCTTGCCCCCTCCCTCTGGTTCCCCTGTGCCTGTCCCAGTGCTACCCTGGCTCCAAGGGTTGATCCCTCTCTTGACCCTTTGCATCCACAGGTTTCACATTCCTGACTCCATGTCCTCCATCCTTAAGGGGTTTTCTGGATATATTCCTACCACTCATCCCAGTAACTCCTGCTCACTGGAGCAGCTGGTTCCCAGCTCCTTAGGAAGATGTCAAAGCCCTGGTGGGGTCCAGCAGAGCTGCCCCTTCCTGCCCATGCTCCCATGTGATGCAGTCTGAGCCCATTGGATCCCCCTCGGAAGCAGGAAACATTTCCATGGACCATCTCTCACTTCCCAGCCGCCTCTGGACCTCATCCTGCTGCCAGCTCATCCCCACTGGGATGACACTGGGATGCTCCTGCAGCCTTTGCAGATGGATGCAGGGATAAAGGGAGGACAGAAGGCACCCCTCAACCAATGCAGGGAGCAAAGCGCTCTGCAAACAAACCTGCCTCTACATGCAGGATCTGACTTGGCCGTGCAGCTTGTAGCAGCGAGTCCAGCCTGTGGAGGCTGTTCCTGTAAGCTTTCCTTACAGGAATTCAGGCACACAAGGGAACAGCAGCAGCTTCTTGGCAGTGTAAAGTAAATAAAGCTGCAGCCGGCGTGAGGATGCTGCCAGCTTCCCGGCTCTGCCTGTGCCGGCCTGGGGATGCGGGAAGCACTCATTGAGGGGGGAACTGTTGCATCTCTCATACGATGTGGTTGTGGTGTGTGAGCTCCTCAGAAACTGGGGCCTTTCTGCTTGCTGGTTGTGGCTGGGGATGCCCCGGCCTCACAGGGATGCTGCGGGCATCGCTGTTGCAAGCTCCATCTCTCAGCCTAGGGGTGTCTCACCCCCCAGTGGCTCTAACAACCTCTCTTGGCTTTTTCCTGGCAGTACCGTGCTTGGATCCGCCATGACTATGGAAGGAACCCATTTAAGGACCAGGAGGAGCTCCAGAGCTTGCTGGCTCAGCAGGAGCAGAGGCAGAAGGAGCAGCAGCTGGGGAGCAGGGATTGCTCCTGGCTCCACTCTCCAGCTCCCACCTACCCGCTCCCCTACCATGCAGGTGGCACCAGCAGAAGCAGATGGATGAACAGATAAGCATCCGGCTGCTCCCAGGCAGACGTTGGCCCCGGGGCTTGGAAAACCAGGTCTTCCCCTTGCCAAGTGCCTCCAGGGGTTCATGTCTAGGGCAGAAAGCAGCCAGCACCAACCTCAGCTGTGGTTTGAGTTGGGGTTGGAGTGGGGGGGTCAGGGCTCACAGACCATCCCCTTGGCTGCCTGGTCTGTGTGTACCCCATGGCAAGGCAGTAAATTAATGGCAGTGTCTTGCTCTGACCTGTTCCCCCATTCCATTCCCAGTGGATCACAGCCCCTTTCCCATCACCCAGAGCAGCAGCAGCAAACCCCATCTCTCTCCAGCAGCATGGTACCCAGGGCTCCTTTGGCAGCGCACAAGGATGCCAATGCAGGCCTTGGAAAGCCAGGGTGGGATGAGATGGGGAGATGTAATAGAATCATAGTTATAGAATAGGTCACCTTGTACCCTGCTTTACAGAGGAGCTGGGAGCTGTTACAGCCCTCGAAGGGATGAGTGCTGGGATATGGAAGCGTTGCTGAGCCCTGATTGTCACCCAAGGGATGGGGATAAGGGGCTGGAGGCTCTTTGTGCTGCTGATGTCCCTCCTGGTCCAGCCTGTCCTTTGCACATGTCCATCTGGCATCTTTCTTAACCCACCTCCCCAGGGAAGGGGGAAACCCAGCAGTGCTGGAGGCCTCCAGTACCCACTGCCTCCATCCCTGCAGCCAGAGCAGGTTTGGGCTTCCCCTGCTGCCCAGTCTGAATGTCCCTGGTTGCAAAAGAAGCCGGTTGCTCCGTTGGACTCAGTTGACCCCCAGCCCAATTCAACACTGTCCCTGACTAACTGCCTGTTTAACATTGGAAGATGGTCACTTTGTCCCTTTTTCATCCCAAACCCATCATTTTCCAAAGCGTGGGCGTCCTTTGCCAAGGTCTTCATATCCACCCTACAAGGAGGGTCCTAATCTATAGATGCAGCCCTTCTACATTTAAACCTTTAACTCTTCTTTGCCTTTTACTATAAATACCTTGCTTGGCTTCCCAAAAATATCCATTCTGAGGAAAAGAAAAGTAACATTTAAAGTATTTCCAGGAATTCCCTTGATTTCTGGGTACTTAGGTATGAGAGTGCCAGGGGTGACTTGACCAGCTCCTAATAAAGGGGAGAGTGATTAAATCCATAAGGGTGGTTGGCTTTGATTTGTGGTGCTCTTGGTGGGAGTGCAGAGATGGACTGACATGGCCATGCTGCTATGTCCTGTTTCCTATTTGCCTGATGAGAACCACTAGCAAAATTAAATGTTTTAAGGACTCAGTGTTTAGCCATAACATAGGATTCCAGGAAAAAAAGGATTATGGAGGCTATTCCCTGTCTTTTTAGGTTGAGAAAGGGTCCCTTTGGCTGCAGTTCTGCGTGGAAGAACACACTGGATTGTGCCTGCAGCACACATGGGAAAGCAAAGCAATTAATGAGATCAAGGACCATAAATGGATAAATGCTGATGGTGGAGTGGACTGAAGGGAAGTTGAGCAAACTAGGTCAATATTGGATTTAATGCCTCTGTTATCATTTTAGGAAGCAGAAAAATGGAACTTGCACATAGGATTAAAAAAAAAAAAGAAAGAGGAAAAGAGAAAACAAGTTGGTTTCTGGTGTAAATAGGAAGTCATTGGAGATCTGTGATAAGCAGGGATTAGGTTTGCAGTAGGTGTGATAACCTCCATGCAGCGCTGCTGTTCTGTCACCTCACCCTTCCCATCCCACCGTTGGCCATCCAGGGGCTCAAACATTCCCAAAGGAAATCCAGCCCCAAAGCAGTTGTTACCCCTGGGAAAATGCCCTGATTTTGGGAATCACAAGGGATGCTCCCCATAAGCTGCAGCATCACTCGTGCCCGCATCACAGCAGCACCTATTGCCCAAACAGCATCTCCCAAACCCAATTTCCCCTGAATTTTGAGGGTGTCCCAGGAAAATATATAGAATTATAGAATAGTTAGGGTTGGAAAGGACCTTGAGATCATCAAGTTCCAACCCCCCTGTCATGGGCAGGGACACCTTGCTCTAAACCATATCACCCAAGGCCTTGTCCAACCTGGCCTTGAACACTGCCAGGGATGGAGCATTCACAACCTCCTTGGGCAACCCATTCCAGTGCCTCACCACCCTAACAGGAAAGAATTTCCTCCTTATATCCAATCTAAACTTCCCCTGTTTAAGTTTTAACCCATTACCCCTTGTCCTATCACTACAGTCCCTAATGAAGAGTCCCTCCCCAGCATTCCTATAGGCCCCCTTCAGATACTGGAAGGCTGCTATGAGGTCTCCACGCAGCCTTCTCTTCTCCAGGCTGAACAGCCCCAACTTTCTCAGCCTATTTTCATACAGGAGGTGCTCCAGTCCCCTGATCATCCTCGTGGCCTCCTCTGGACTTGTTCCAACAGTTCCATGTCCTTTTTATGTTGAGGACACCAGAACTGCACACAATACTCCAAGTGGGGTCTCACGAGAGCAGAGTAGAGGGGCAGGATCACCTCCTTCGACCTGCTGGTCACGCTCCTTTTGATGCAGCCCAGGATATGGTTGGCTTTCTGGGCTGCAAGTGAACAGTGAAGCTGGCTCATGTTCATTTTGTCATCGACCAGCACCCCCAAGTCCTTCTCCACAGGGCTGCTCTGAATCTCTTCTCTGCCCAACCTGTAGCTGTGCCTGGCATTGCCCCGACCCAGGTGTAGGACCTTGCACTTGGCATGGTTAAACTTCATGAGGTTGGCATCAGCCCACCTCACAAGCATGTCAGGGTCGCTCTGGATGGCATTCCTTCCCTCCAGCGTATCAACCGAACCACACAGCTTCGTGTCATCGGCAAACTTGCTGAGGGCGCACTCAATCCCACTGTCTATGTCAGTGATGAAGATGTTAAACAAGACCGGTCCCGACACCGATCCCTGAGGGACACCACTCGTTACTGGTCTCCAGCTGGACATTGAGCCACTGACCACAACTCTTTGTGTGCGGCCATCCAGCCAGTTCTTTATCCACCGAGTGCTCCATTCATCAAATTGATGTCTCTCCAATTTAGAGACAAGGATGTAGTGTGGGACAGTGTGGAACGCTTTACATAGGTCCAGGTAGATGACATCAACTGCTCTACCCCTGTCCATCAGTTCCGTAGCCCCATCATAAAAGGCCACCAAATTGGTCAGGCAGGATTTCCCCTTAGTGAAGCCATGCTGGCTGTCACCAAGCACCTTGTTGTTTTCCATGTGCCTTAGCATGCCTTCCAGGAGAATCTGCTCCAAGATTTTGCCAGGCACAGAGGTGAGACTGACTGGTCTGTAATTCCCCGGGTCATCCATGTATTTTTCCACTGTGGCCTACACCGTTGGGACCTGTGGTGGCTTTAGGGCTTTCGGCAGTGGAAGGCAACCCCCCGAAGGAGGTAAACCCCATTGATTTCTCTTTGCCAAGTGCCTCTGCTGCAGGGGAAACCGCTCTGTTCAAGTGTAAATGAGCTTCCCATGGTGCTGCTCACACACAGGGAAATGGTTTACAAGAAATTCCAGGCGCTGCTGCCTGCCCCAGGGCGTGTTTCGCTTTTCCCTTTGCCATCCCGCTCCATTCCAGCCGGCCGGCACCAGGAGCGGCCAAAACCCCCGTTTTAAGGGGGTGGTTGTTTTATCCTCCTCCCATTGGGACACTTCTCATCCCAGAGAGCTGAGATTTTGCTTTTCCTGGCTGCCCATGAAGCTGTGAAGCCAGAATGAAGGCAAAGGCGATGGAATCCCCTCGCTGGCAGCAGGGTCCCGTTTAGTCAATGGAGAAGCTGGATTATACAATTCCCCTTGGAAATATCCTGCATTTCTCACTACTTCTGCAAAATAAACCATTTTTAACTGGGGGTGTCTCTGTCCTGTGTGGAACTGGTGCCATGGGGGGCAGAGATGCAGCTCCCCCTGCAAAGCTGAACTTGTTTCTCAGTAAAAAAAAACCCCAAATAACCCTCCCAACCACATCTGATTGCAAGAGAAGTTTTTGGCTCCCCTCAGATCTCATGGGGGTGTGTGGGATCTGATTAGGATCAGTTGAGTGTTTTAAAACAAGGGTTATTACTGATGTTATTTGTTAGGAATGACACTAAAGGTTGTGTACCTTAGATCATTATTTTTATTGTAGCAGCTGCGCAGCTCCATACATTTCCCATTTCTCTCTATTACCCACATGGGAGTAATTACGGTTTTCTTCCAAGAAATGTGTGTGTAATCTGGTAATCCCAAAAAAACCCCCCTCTGAGGTCAGGCTGCAGAGGATCCTTTATGCTCCATCACAGCCAGCAGCCCCAGCTAGGGATGGTGGGGATGGCCTGAGGCTGCCGTGCTCTGCCAGGGCTCTGATCCCAGCTGGAGCAGCGAGGGAGGGATTGATCTGGACCTGGAGCTGATCCAGGAGGGAACTGGGAATTGCTGGGATATGGACTGATCAGGGGCTGGGGAGACTGCTCTGAGACTGAGGGTGAATCAATCAGGGACTGACTGGGGAGGCTGGTCTGGGATTGGGGATAGTCTGATCTGGGACTGGGGTGAACTGATCGAGGACTGGGGAGACAGGTCTAGGACTGAAGATGAACCAGTTGGGGACGGGGTATGGATTGATTGGGCACTGGGAGACTGGTCTGTGACTGGGGATGGACTGAACTTGGACTGGGGATGGAACGATCTAGGACTGGGGATGAATCAGTTGGGGACTGGGATGGACTGAGATGAGACTGAGGAGACTGGTTGGGAACTCTGGGACTGGGGAAACTGGTCGGACTATTGGGTATGGATCGATCGGAGACTGGACTGAAACTTGGGAAGGACCAGTCTGGGACTGGGGAGACTGGTCTGGGACTGGTGTGAGACTGGGAAGGGATCAATGGGAGCCTGTGGAGCCCGGTCCGTGCCTGTGGCCAGCCCGACTCCGGGCACCGTGCGCTCAGCGGGGGACAGGCGGGACACGAGTGACCCTACCACCCACCTGGAGACCCCGCCCCCTCAATGGCCACGCCCCCACGAAGCCACGCCCCCGTCCAGGCCACGCCCCCTCCCCGTGGCTGATTTCCCGGAAAGGCTCTCTCTTCGGAGAACGCGGCGCCAGCCGCGCATGCCCAGCTAGGAGGCTTCCCATTGGACAGCCGAAAGCGGAGGCAGCTCCCCATTGGGTGGGGTGGGCGCGGGGAGAGAGGGGGGTAAGGCTGGCTATTGGCTGGGCCGCGCGCGAGTGTGGGCGCTGGCGGGCTCGCCCCCTTCCGGGCGGTTATAAAAGGGCGGTAGCGCGGGTGAGGAGTGGGTGCGGCGGCGTGGAGCGGGTGAGGATCGCGGAGCGTATACCGGGTACGGGAGGGATGCGCGGCCATAGGAGGCCATGGGGGTGCTGCGAGGGCTGGAGCAGCTCTGCTCTGGAGCCAGGCTGAGAGAGCTGGGCTGGGGCAGCCTGGAGAAGGGAAGGCTCCTGAAGGGGAGACCTTAGAGCAGCTCCAGTGCCTAAAGGGGCTGCAGGAAACCTGGAGAGGGGCTTGGGACAAGGGCCTGTAGGGACAGGGCAAGGGGAATGCCTTGAACCTGCTAGAAGGGAGACTGAGATGAGCTCTTAGGCAGAAGCTCTTCCCTGTGAGGGTGCTGAGGTGCTGGCACAGGGTGCCCAGAGAAGCTGTGGCTGCCCCATCCCTGGCAGTGTTCAAGGCCAGGTTGGACACAGGGGCTTGGAGCAAGCTGCTCCAGTGAAAGGTGCCCATGGCAGGGGTTGGAACTGGATGAGCTTTAAGCTCCCTTCCATCCCAACCCATCCCCATGGACCACTGGCTGATGGTGCAGTGCTGCCTCTGCCAGTCCTATATTCTTTCTGGTTGTCCTGGTGTGGGGCTGGTGCCCTGCATGCTGCAGGGAGGGCTCTTTGCCTGTGTTGTGTGTGCTGATTTGTGCCACTGGGGCCAGCCTGGAGGGCTTGGGCAGCCTTCCATGGAGGGGAATGGAGCTCTGACCTCTGCCAGTGATGATGGAAACAAGCTGTTTAGAAAGCAGGCAGGTCTAGAAGAGAGTCTCATTTCAGCTGGTGTTTCTGAGGCTCTTCATCTTGCTATAACTCCAGAGCATGCTCATAGGTTGTGTGCTCCCATTTATGGCATGTGCTTTGGGGTGTCCGGCTTTGGAGGGGCAGCTGGGATCCGACATTGGTGGCTGGTGGTATTAGCTCTCACCATCCCCAAAACCAGGGGGTCTGTTGATGGCAGAAGGGTCTGTGTGCCCTACTGAGTAGCAGTAGGGCAATGGGGAAGGGACAGAAGTTGGTGGTACTGATCTGGTGTGAGCAAAGCAGGGACCACCGGTACGGGCTGTACTGGAAACGTCCTTGTTTTCACCCCAAAAACCTTCCTGTGGGGCAGTAAAGAAAAGGAAATCGGGGAAAGGCAGTCCTGTAAAACTTGGAGCAGGGCTTTGAGCCTGGGGCTGCTGATCCCTCCTGCCAGGCCACCAGCTCCTGAAGTCCATATAGGTCTTACCATGGAGGTGATGGAGGATGCCAGGAAGGCTAATCCTGGTGCTTTGCCTTCAGTTGGGCAGGAGAAGCTTTCTCATGGATCCTCCATAAAGTTACTCAGTGATTTTGGCTCAAAATGACCAGAGGTCCCCAATAATGGGGGTGTGACTTCATCCCGCATCTTGGCGTCCATCCTCTGTTGGAGAGGGTCGGTAGTGTGGCCCCATCCCTGTCTTCTGCAGATGCTAATGAGTGTCTGCCCTGGGATGATCTGCCCAGAGTCACTTGCTCAGTTGACAGCAGGACCAGGTGCTTTAGTCCCTTTTCATCTGCTTCCTATGTAACTTACTCCTTTTACTGCTGCAGGAAAGCACCAGATCAGCCTGGTTTTGTGAGCAGAGCTTTGATTGATAGAGTGGGAGGATGTAATAACTCAGAATAAGTTGCCTTGATTTTTTC